ACGCCGGTGCCGCCCACACGCGCACCGTCACCGCGCGAGCTTGCACGCGTCACCGCCGAGGGTGTGGCGGACATGGTGGACGAATCAGTGGCCATGGCGTTCGGGGACGCGTGTGGAAGCAACTACGTCCGTATCCAGGCCGGCAGGAAACCGGCGCCTCTCCACGCGGAGACGGCGGCCGCTGCCGCAGAGACGATGCTGGCGCAGCGGAACGTGGAATCGGTGCTATTCCGCGGGCGGAGGCTGTCGGAGCGGACGAACGCCGAGAAAGTGGACACGCTGGTCGCGGAGCTGGTCAAGGAGCAGGAGCGCCGGAGGAGCAGCCCGTTCCCTAACGTGGCCATCAAGCAGGTTGCTACGCCGTGGCTGTCGTCGGCGACCAGCGCATCGTCGGGCACCACGACGGTGCGGACAACGTCGTCGATGCCGTCGCCGGCGTCGTGGGATTCTCGCCGATAGTCGAGTTAATTTAGGCCGTGACAACTGACAAGACAAGATGAGATTATCCAGTGTACATGCATGCAACTGAGTTTGGAACTGAATTTTATCACGACAATTCACTGAGCACAACAGTTCTAGGAGTACATCACATCTGCTGCTGCTCATCAGACGCCTGTTTACGACTTATTAATGGCTAATTGCTAGCCACCTAAAAATTAGCTATAATACATCTAAACGACAAGGTTAATAGATGGACTAATTTTTCAGTTAGATCGTCAGCCAGTAGTTGTTAGCTAGCTAGCTAACCAACTATAGCTAATTTGAATTAATTTTTAGCTCCAACTAGCTAGCCATCTTGTTTATTTGCATTGCTCGGTCTCTCTTTGCTTACTAGGAGGCCTAGAAATTGAATTGCTGACCATTCTGGTTCCTTGAGATAAATTAATGATCATCGCAGCCAAAGACTAACTATAGCAGGAATAGCATCGTTCAGGTAATAAGAAGAGAAAATTTACTGTGGGACTCACCGTCAATCCACCTTACTACTTGATGGCCCCATTCGCTGGGAGGAATCTAGAGAAATTTGTGAGAGAAACCATCCGTCCGTAAACAGTGCTTCCTCCGTACCAACCGAACGAGGCCGATATGTTGTGTTATTCTTTCGGCGTTACAGATATAGTTGTGATGCACAATGGATTGATAGTGTTTCTTGTGAAATAATGGTGCCAGTTTTTTTTTTAAAAAAAATGTTTGAATTTGATCCAATATTTCTAAAAATTCGTGTTTTCGGGACCCGCCATCAACGGGCAGCTGCTGGTCAGCCTCGGCATCACCGAAGTCCGAAGGTCAGGTGGTTGGGCCACGGCGGCAGCCCGTGCGAGCAGCAACAGTCCTCTCGCCGGCCATACACACGGCTGCACTGGAGAGAGCTGCAGGTGCAACTGTACAAGAAAGAAAAGACAGCACGGGGAGGAAGAAATGACATTTCCCCTGTATTCTCTCTCCCCAAACTCGATAAAATAATATTATAATCACATCAATCTCCAGCAAACAACAATAGTTTAATAATACCTAACAAATTATGGTGTTTGGTGTGAAATAACGAGATCACATTTATTCGATCCATAGCAAAATTTCTCTAATAAGAACTATAGTGAACAAGCCTGACAGTAAGGCCCTGTTGGAATTTGAAGTATATACTAGTGCGCCACGCACGTGTCTATAATTTTTTTTTGAAAAGTAGAGTAACAATTAAGAGCCTGTTCGCTGGTTGGTTTCTGGGCTAATAAGCTCGACTGGTGCTGATTTATTGTGAGAGGAAAACATTATTGGCTGGCTAATAAGCCCTGGCTAAAACCAACGAACGAACAGGCTGAAAATCTTCTAGTTCCAACTTACATCCAGTTTACTTTGATCTTTGTGAGTTTATAGAAACTAAAATTTGCTCTCCTTTTTTTACTGTAATATATAGTTACAACTTACAATGAGATTACTTCGATGTTTGAGAGTTTGTAGAAATTGAAATTTCCTCTCTTTTTACTGTAATAATATATCTTACTTGGAGATACTTGAATCATCCCTACAATTACAGTATTTGATGTTGAGCTGCACGCTAACCTCATTTGGACACCCATAGACCTATTGGTGATTCTATATATTGAGGTTTAGAAACACATGATCAAGAAATATCTAGCTAGATGCCGTAACACTTCACATTTTCTTCTCGTGGAAGGTTATAATTCTATCGTCAACATAAAAAAACTGCTAATTTGAGTTTTTTTTAGTGTGGAGAGAACTGCAAGCGAAGCCAAGCTGATTACCAATAGGCAACATAAAAAACAGCTAATTTGAGTTTTTTTAGTGTGGAGAGAACTGCAAGCTAAGCCAAGCAGATTACCAATTGACAATTCATCACACAGAAGCATGTGAAGGGCAGCTCAGGATTCTTGTATACTTTGATTGTGCACAATTGTTGCCATGGATAATTTAAAAAACAATAGTAAAAAAAGAAACAAGTGCCTGGAAAGTACTATTCGTTGATTTGTTGTGAGAGAAAAACACAGTTCTTTTTCATTTGAAAAAGTACTACTGATAAGACAAGTTTAACAGGGGTTACAACAAAGGTGACACTGCTAATGATATACTATTTACAAGGCGACATTGCAGACTGGATGCCTTTTATTCTATCCTGGTTCTTGTCCCAACAACGAATTCTTGAAAATAAAGTCATTTTCTTCTCTCGAATTGATCCTAGCTGAATCATACATCGGATATTAGTAGTTCTTGGAAACTTGGAAGTTACGCTTTTATTCACACCAATGGGCTACTAACATACTATTCCATCGGTCACTAGCTCCAGCAAGACACAAATTTATTGGAACCGTTTACAAGAAATGGGGATGCTTATATTAAAACCTGCATAGGTTTAACATTTACCATCAATAACAAAGAAAAAAACAGCTCACCTCACCTATATTTCGTTTGGGAATGTCTCGCTAAACAACATTATCTGCCCGACACCTGGTGGAGGCATGTCCATCCGATCAGCGATTCTCCTAACTTGTGGTGGAAACTCATATCAAGCATTCTATCTACCTCAAGGGCAAGGTTTCTAATAGTTGCAAAGATATTTTGCCCTTTCCAACAAATCAATGAAATGACCATTGGTAGCCACAAGAACGTCAAAACCCATCTTGAGATATATTAGCTGCAAAAATAGAAAAAAAATTGGATGCTGTACAGACTTAAGGAAATAAGTTATGATCAATTGTTCAGCCATTCCAGTCCAGCAGTGGCAAAGTATATTATATTTTTTAATGATAGGCAAGGAGACCTGCGTAAGCTTTGCATTAGTTTGAAGGCTTGACATGCATTAAGCTTTACACAAATTGCGCAAGGATTCATCAACATCTATCTATTTAAATTAACATTGTGTCCATGAATAACGTCAGGCTTAGTTTATAGGTTTCATTTTCACCGCTTCTTATAACATCTTTATGCAGGAATGGATGCTATTTAATTTGTTTTGTTAGCTAGGTAGGTCTTGTATCTAATATTCAGATTATGTCAAAAAGAGAAATATGACTCTGACTCTACCTTAGTACTTTCAGTAAGCTATATACTCTCGATGTAACAGCTAACAATTTGTAACCAGTGGTTTGGGTTCAGGTGGATTTGCAATAATTAGCTACTCTCATGTCATATCTCAACCTGATGCATATGGGCTTTCTTATATTCCCAAAAATATATATCCTCGCTATGTTCAAGTGTTCTGTCAACAGCATGATTAAAATGAGGGAGGCAAAGAGAAAGTGACAATACTTATTACAACTCAAATATTACAGGATATATGCAAGTGAGACAGATGTAGCTTACAACTATTCTGTAGATCTCCAGTGACAATAAGCATGCAACATTCTTCTTTTGCTGCCCACAAAAAGTTAGGAAAAATACCCAAACATATTGTTTAATATCAGGGGATAGTCCATCGTCGTATTCACTTTACTGTAACCTGAACAATTTTGTTAAAAAAAACGATGAGGGTTATACATTGAACCTCAGCTGTAGATCGCCTTTTGAATGAAATATCAACAGTTTGTAGTCAATGTCATCTTTTTCTACCTCCTCCTTCCCTCAACTAAGCGAAAGAATTTCACACTTCAAACCAGAAATATCGTGATCCTTGAGTTTTCAAAGGCATGAAGTTATACCAGCCAACTTTCACTTGCATCAATGGCACAACACAGCTGACCATGAGTTTTCAAATGCCTTGCTCTTTACTTGATGTATAACCGGACTGCACTTCCCACTTCTGCAATTTGCAATGTGCAAAAACAGCAAGAACAGGCATGGACACAAAAATTCAGGCACTTGTAGCCTTTAAATGTCAATAAATAGTTTAACTCCTAAACTAAAATGGGTAAACAAGATCTAGTATGCAGGAAAGAAAAAAAAAGCAGTTAACAAATAATCAGTAGAACAGAGGAAGCTAGAACATTATAATGTTTTTCTTCTGTACAGGGTAAACTTCCTAACATTGTGCTGCCACCTGAATTTGCAAATCTCTGCTGTAGAGTTCAGATAAAGGAAGAAAATAAAGCTACATGTGATGCACAAGGCAAGAGAAAAAAAAAGATATATATGTGGTCTTTCTCAAGTAAGCAAACTCTTGCTCGCCCCAAAAGGCCAAAACACGTTAGTTTCCATATCACAAATTCCAGCCAAACAGATTTATGCAAACGCAAGTTTCTTCTACCGAATGGAAGATAATGTAAGAAACAAAAAACACAGTATATCCATGCAATGTTCTCAGGAACTCTATGGGAAACGCAACAAGCAATCTAGCAATTTCAGATAACCAAATAAACTAACTGTTCATAGCACCAAAACACAAGCTTCTTTCTTAGAAACGAAGCCTGCCACCAAAATAGTTCTACATATATAATGGATACAATGAGAAAACATATACAATGGCTGGGATACCTTGCATCCTCTTGGGTAAGACTACATATAGTTAGGACTCATGAAAGATTTGCTGTTACACACCGCCTCTTTTCAGTTCAACGGGGAACAAATTTGGAGAGCAGCTGTTTCAGAACACCGGGGCAGCTAACTGTCAAGTAGTCAAAACCATCTGTTTCCATGACTGCATCCAGATTCTTAGCTGAGCTTAGGAACGCGAAGCATGCATCCTTAAGCCCATGACAGTTGTGCTTTTCAGCCAATGCTAGGATGGTCGCAGCAGAGCACGTATCGATATACTTGCACAGTTTGTCTTCACAGATCAACTTCAGCCTCTCCAGGTTATACCTGTCTGCGGCGACAAGCAGATGCTGAGCCATTGCACATTCCTCTCCGTCCTTCGTCTCTGGCAGGGTGTCCGTGTAAATGAAGGTGAGCAGCGCATCGAACACCGCTGGCTCCATGTCTTCGATGCGTATGGCCTTGGTGGTGGTGCTCTCTTTCATCGGACCAAAGAGCTCCGCTTTGAACACCGGCGACCGCGTCGAGAGAACAAGCCGGTGAGCAGAGAATGTCTTCCCGCCGACTCGGAATTTGACGTCGGCGCCCTCCTTGCTGCGCAGGAGATCACCGTAGTGCAGGTGCATGTCGGACGGCGGCACGACCACCGACGGCGTTCCCACGGCTTGGATGTCCCTCATGACGGTCACATCGAACCTGACGGTGAAGGAGTCATCCCTGAGATGCTCGGATTTCTCCAGAGCTTTCCTCTCGATGAACTTATGGTATCCCCAGCTCCCTTTCTCCACGAATCCGGTGACTTTGGTGTAGGACGGCACCGGCTTCCCGTCCTGGTCGAGTAAGCTGATGGTGACCTGCGCCTTCGCAGCCTTGCCGGGTACTGCACCATGGATGGCGAGAAACAACGATATGAAATCGACGTTGTTGGCGGCGCATCCATTGGGGTGATACGCCACGAACCAGGTGTGCCCTCCCAGGTGGAAGTGGAAGGAGTCGATGCGATGCCCATTGGGGACCTCCTTGGTGCGGGAGTAGGACACGATCTTGAGCACGTGGGAGCCGGTCACAGCGCCGGCGACGATGGTGGAGGCGGAGTGCGAGCCGTCGCCGCCCCCACTGTAGCCAGCGACTGGAGAGGGCGAGGATCCCGGCATGGAGGGCAGCAACATAGGCCGTGGCGCGCCTCGATCGGCTGGGTGGGTTTTGCTGCTCTACCTTTTTGCCTTTTCATCAACCGAGAAAACAATTGGATCCTGTGGCGTGTGTGAAGATCGGACGGCGACAAGTTCAGACTACGAGTAGAGGATCTGGAGTACTCCTGCTATCGACGATCTACCCTCTATCCCAAAGTATAAATAATTCCAATTTTCTTACAGACAGTGAAAATATCTTAAGTTTAACCAAATTTATATAATAAATAATAAACTTTATTATACTAAATAAATATATCATTAGATTTTGTTTTACTTATATTTTTATAGTGTTTCTCATATATCATAATTTTTGTAATTTTCTTTATAATTTTGATCAAACTTAACATGCTTTGGCTTTCGAAAAAATAGAATGACTTAGAGCATCTCCAAGAGTTTGTCAAATTTTACTTAACAAATATTGTAATTTGCCAACTCCCAAAATTATATGCCAAGCAAAAAAACAATTCATCTCCAAGAGTTTGGCATTTTTGACTTGGTAAAATAAAAAACTCCGTTAACAAAACGAAGAGGCCCGCTAAGCGAACGAAGAGCCCCGCTAAGAAACGAAGAGCCCCCGATGCCAAGCCGTATACGCGCGCGTATATTTGCGCGCGCGGAGGAAAGATTTACCAAGTTGCTATTGATGCCAAGTTGTTTTGCCAAACTGTTGGAGGCTATTTTTTCTTGTTTTGCCAAAATTATATGGATGCCAAATTGAGATAGCAAACTCTTAGAGATGCTCTTATAATTAGAACGGAGGAAGTATCTATCTATCTACTGGTATCTATCTATCTATCTATCTATATTAATATATATTTTAGTCATTATATTATATTATTCATTATATACAACTAAATTAAATTAATATTAGATTAGCTTATTTATTGGGTCTGTTTGCTTTGGATGGTTTGAAGAAATGCTGGAGGAATTTGTGAGAGAAAAATACTGTTCCGGATGAAAAAAAAGTGGATCAAGCCGGATTTAAGGACACGTGAACGGGGCCATTATCTCGTCTCTAAAAGAATCCTTTTGTTTGCCTTTTTTTACTTCGAATAATGCACATAGACCCTCCTCATTGTATGATCCAGATACTCACGGTCTATCCTAATACACAGTAACGGTATAACTCCCATCCCAATATACGTGAAGCAATGCTATAGAGTTTGTTTGCAAAATGTATTGGAACAGATGATAATAGTCGAATAATCCAAGTAGTAAATTGTTTCAATGTATCGACATACTTGCTAGTAGTAGTAAAATCTGACTGAAATTTACAACCCTGCAACCATTAAAACAAAGTTGGTTTGGCTCCTAAATCCTAAAATCAATTATTTAGGTGATTTTACTCTGAGAAATAGTAATATCTGTAGATATATGATCTCATATAATATTTTAAAGTATTTTTTTGTCGGTACACTCGCGTTGAAACATTCTAGTGATCGAGTAACATCTTGCTTGGATCACTCCCTGCTAGTAGTAAAAACGGACATATCATGCTCATGCAAGGTCTTTAGTGACCATAAACTATTTTTATGCTCAGGTAGTAATCATTGGACTTTATGAACCGTAAAAAGTGAAGTTATATAATCACATATTTGAGTAGTAATATTACAAAATCATCAACATTTCTATGCAAACTTATATTACAAAATCACTTCCTAAGGCACTAATTAAAATCAAGGATAGGTGAAAGTGCAATCAAGCCTTAATTGTGGGTTTTGATGATAATAATCACGTAATTAGAGAACTAATAAGATTTATCGAGATGACAAGTAGGGAATTTATATTCGAGGATACTACACGAAACGGAGGAGCCCCCGATTATATATGTAGATGACTTCAAACTCAAAGAAGACTTAAATTCTTTTATATATTGAATTTGAGAATAGGGAAAGCCGTACTATAAAGGGAACGCAATGCTTAAGCTAATATGTGCTACCAAGTGCTCAAACAACCACAAGCATCCTCAGATTCATAGCCAAGACAGTCTACACTTCACTATTACCCTTGCTGTCTTGCGTGGTGCAAGCTTCGACTCGCCTGACTCCTTGCGTGCGAGTTCCGACTAGCCCGACCCCATGGGCGCGGGCTCCGGTTCGCCCGACCCTTTGGTCGTGGGCCCCGTCTCACCCGACCCCAAGGTTGCGGGTTCTGCCTCGCCCGACCCTTTGGTTGTGGGCTCCGGTTCATCCGACCCATTGGTCGTGGGCTCCGTCTCGCCCGACTCTAAGGTCGTGGGCTCCGTCTCGTCCGACCCCAAGGTCGTGGGCTCCGTCTCGCCCGATCCCTTGGGTGCAGTGACCGTTGGGGGCCAGGAGGTATATATACATTTCTCTTTCCTTGCCAACGACTATCTACGATTTAAAGTGACCGTTGGGGCTGGAGGTATATATACCTTTCTCCTTTCTTCCTAACGGTAACCAACCCTGCTCTCTTCTTCCTTACTTTAGTATGTCCAAAACAAAGCAGGAACTCTCTCTTTCTCACTCCATTGTTGACCTAAAGCCCTCAAGCAAATCCATTGATTTTCCCATCAATCCTTGAAGAAAAAATAGTTCAAACTTGAATAGAGAACAACTCCATTGATTTCCCAATTCTAAGCCTTAGTGGCTAACCTCAACAACGTGAAGATAGGCAAGCCTTGGTGGCGAGCCGAACCACGGGATAAATCATTGTGTCACTTGTGCTTGATTTACATTACTGGCATAATATATTGTTGTTGAGGTGATTTCTAGGATTGAGGCCGATCTACTTGTGTGTAGTGTTTCCACCACATTTAGTTGTCGATCTATGATCTACTACACTGCAAGAAGCTAAGAAATATACCCGATCTAAATTTCGTTGGGTAGATTTTGAACTGTGAACTAATCTCTCCTGCAGGTGCGGCAGTGTCGCGCTCATAGAGCGGCAGTGCCGCGGGTGAATTTGACTTTGGTTTTAGTTAAATTTTTACAGGTCTATTCACCCCCTCTAGGTGTACCAGAGATCTTACAAGTGGTATCAGAGCTAGGTTACCTCGTGTGCGCTTCACCGCATGAGTTATGGAGCCCGAGGGAGGATCTGGTGTTGTGAAGCCCATCAACGTCGATCCGAAGGATGTTGGGCTGCATGACACCAACAGCAGTGAGCTTAGCGCCTCTACAGTGAGCAACTCTACGCTCCCACAGCTAGAGGCAACCGATGCCAAAAAAGCTCAAAATAAAGAAGAAAGAAAGAAGAGAAGGGCAGCTAAAAAAGAGAAAAGAGAAGCAAGAAAGAAGAAGGAGCAGCAGCGGTTAGAAGAGAAGAAAGCAAGAAAAAAAAGAAGACTCAAGAGAGAAGCTAGAAGAAAAGGAAGAGAAGCAAGAAAGAAGAAGGAATAAGAAGCAAAAGCCTCAAATGCATCTTCATGTGAGCTATCTAGCAGCTCCGAAGATGGTGATGATGATGAGTCCTACCAAGTGCATAGCAAGAAGGACAAGAAAGAAAAGGGTAAGAAGAATGACGACAACAAATATACCGTCATATCCTTTAACTATTCTTCTATATCTATGACTAACTATGATCACAAGTCTTTCATCAATGTGCCCGCGGGCAAGTTATCTCATTTCAATGGGACTAACTTTGCCAAGTGGAAGCACTTGATGAGAGCCTATCTTATAGGTCTTCATCCCGACATTTGGGAGGTTGTTTACAATGGATTTGAGCCACCGGTTGATCCCAAGAATCCAACCATAAAAGAAATGAGAATAATCCACCTCAACGGTCAATCTACTAGTGTGCTACTTAGTGTCGTAGATGGTGATGAGTACAATAGAGTGATTGGTGTGGATGTTGCCAAGCAAATTTGGGATACTTTGCATCTTTCACATGAAGGGGTTGAAAAAGTGAGAAAAGCAAGAATTGATTTGTTGATGTCCAAGCTCAACCGATTTGTTATCTTGAATGGAGAAGGGCCACAAGAGATGCTTGATAGGTTGATGACCATGGCGGGTGTAACACCCTCGGTGTTACATTGTATAGTTTTTGCTAAAACCATGTCATGAGCATCATGTTTATGTATTATTGCATGTGGTAAAATGAGAAATTAAATTTTGTTGCACTAATTCTCAAATTGAGCTCTAATTTATTCCTTATCCAAGTATTCTCCCGCAGCCCAAATCACTTTCATTCATCCTGATCCAACTCCAGCTCTTATTATTCTTCTCCTCCTTAATTTCCCATGCACGCACTCGGCACTCGCAAGCCCACGAAGCATGCTTCAGTACATTCTTTGGCAAGGCGCAGTGCTTTTACTTTGTCATGTCAAGCAAGTCAAGTTGGCAGCACATGACGGACCGGCAGCAGCATCGCACATGCTACACATTAATCTCAATCACAAGCTCTGCCCGCTGCGCACGTCGCTTGCTCGCTGCTCGGTTGCTTTGCAAATGCAGCTCAGACACCTTTCCACGCGGCAGCACTGCAGCAACGTAGGATCACAGTAGCACGAAGAAAACACTGTTCACCATAGAAAACACCGTTCACCATAGAAAACACTGTTTATCCGAGCATCACGTCATGCACAAGCAGCGCTTTATTACCATTAAGCAAGCTAGTTAGCCACTAACCTTACGACGCATCGCTGTCGTGCCTTCGCTTCTCCTGCCTATAAAAGGACACGCCGAGCCGTCCCGCTTCGCCGCTCACCTTCTGCCTCCCTAAATCAAGTTTCTCTGTCTTGCTTGAGAAAGCTACGCTCCGTCGACCTCCCTCCCGAGCTGCAATCGGCCGAGGTCGTCAGCCTGCAAAAATCCCCTTCTTCTTCTCTGTTATTTCCTTGACCCGTGGCCTCATCCATTATTTCTAGACCTATAGCCAGGTGCAAATCAACAAGTTCAATAGCATGATTAGCCTTCTCCAATAATATCATTTCTTCACCTCTAGAGCTCATTTAAATTTATTTATTTATTGTGAAATAAATTTTGTTAGATTCCTAAATTTATGATCTATCTGTT